GTGTGAGGAAGAGGATACACATCTGGGATCATCACTTCGTTTAACGGACAATAGTCGATGCAAAAACGAATACTCCCATCAGGCTTCATCACAAGATGAGGTTCACATCCCAAGGACTCCGTGACTTCCGAATAACACCCTTTTCCAGCATTTCCTTGACGTTTGCTCGTAAAATTTTGATCTCCTTAGGTGACCTACGACAAACAGGAACCTTGATTGGACGAGCATCCCCAGTTGGAATTGGATGACATGTGGCAATCTTGGCCCCAGACGATAGGTCAAATTCAAAGAGATCAGAATACTCCTTCATGAGCCGGTCAACTGCTACAACACAAAGATCGTCGGAGGGATCGGAAAAGGGAAAAGCAGAACAAGATGGAAACACAGAAGGAAAGAGTGGGGAAACAAAAGTAATGGAAGCAGAGGTAGAAGTAGAGGGACGAAGAGGTATGGAAGTGAGAGGAATGGATGAAACATAAGGAAGTATGAGACAAGGGGGAGAAGCCTCAAAGTCACACTTGGCATGATTGCGCTGCAACCAATCCATACCAAGAATGAGGTCAAAAGCTTGACTCGGCACCACCCGCAACGACTGCAACTCAAGCTCGAGATCGCCCACACGCACAACCAGGTCCACCTCATCCTGTGCACATGCATGTGTACGGCCGTTGCCATAAAGAATGAAAACTGGTTCTGCCGCACGACGCAAGTGTAGACGACAACGTGTGGCAACAGGTCGAGCAATAGAAGATAAACTCGAACCTGTATCAACCAACACGGAGAGAATAATAGGAGACTTCTTGTTATAAAAACGAGCTTGGAAAGTAAAAACTGGATGAACTGGTGCCGAGTGAACCCCTTGATGATACTCCCGAAAGAAAGATGGAGGGGTCACTGATTTATGCGCGCAAGGTCCCTCCGTTACTCGTGTGACTCCTCGTTTCCCAGATGCATCTCGGTGTCCAGACCTTCTACTGCAGCAGCACCCAGGGGACGTTGATGACGCCAAGGTCTCCACCCAGGAAATGGAGGTCGCCAATCCGGAAAACGACGGCAACGCCGATAAGTATGACCAACTTCATCACACGCCCAGCAGCGAACATCACGGCCACGACCACGTCCTCGCGCTTGTCCTTGGACTCGAGCAGCAGCAGCATCAACCTCCATTGGAACAGGACCATCACCCATAAGAAGTGGAGCGGAAGGACGTGCAGCGAGAAGTGGAAGAGGCGACGTCTCATAACGTTGTGCCAAGCGAAGAGCATCGTCAAGGGTGGCAGGAGCAAGTGCATGCACAAGTCCGACAAGATCTTGACGAAGTGCTAGCCACAACATTCCTAGCTTGATCCGCTCTGACATATTTGGCTTCGCACGAAGCAAAAGACTTCGGAAACGAATGCCAAATTGCATCACCGACTCCAATGGCCCTTGGCGAAGACGATGCAATTGTTGGAAAGCATCATTACAATCATCGGCATGTCCGAAGGCGCGTTTGAAGACGTCCGGGAGAACACTCCAATCCCCACGAGTAGCTACGCTCAAACCATTGTACCACTGCAATGCCGTCCCATGGAGACACGTGGGAAACTCACGCAATTGTCGAGCATCATCCCAAGAATGATATGTGGCAATCACCGTAAAGTGATCGAACCAATGGTACACATCATCCCCAGGATTCCCGCGAAAGAACTCCGGTCGAACGCGAGGATTGGCACCAAGAGCAGGAGGAGTTGTACCACGTGCCGTGAACGCTGCCATCAACTGAGTTTGGTTGTTCAATTGCAAGTGCATAGCATCAAGCAATTGAACCAACTGCTGCTCTAGAGTCAAAGGAGGAGATTGTGGATCGGCCATGAAGATGAACGAAAAAGAAAGAGCAAAAGAAGAGAAATGATAAAAAAGCTGGAAAGAAATGGTAGATCTAGACAATGCAAAAAGCTAGATCGAAACCAAAATCCTAAAAGGAAAGAACAAAAGAAAGGAAATGGAAAAGGCTAGATCTAAACCGAAATCCCAAAAAGCTAGATCTAGACGATGCAAAAGCTAGATCTAAACCGAAATCCCAAATCCAAGCACTCCCCAGGGACAATCAAAGGTGCCCCTCATCTCCACCAATGTGAGTGCATGGAATATGGAAAGGGAATATAGAAATGTGCATATCCATTAACCCAAAAACCCTAGCTTATATACAGGAGTGAGTGGTCCGGATTGAAACCAATCCGACGGCTACCAAAATCCACTACGCTAATATTAGTATACGGCATCGTAGCCGTACACTTGGCCCTCATAGTATTATTAAATAATCCAATTGATCAATAATTATAAACAGGTTTATATGTTATAAATCAAGATTAATTAAACATGAAAGAAGTGTTTAAGAAAGTTTATACATTATAAACATGTTTATAAATTATAAATACAGACTTAATCTAATGAATAACAACTAATCTATTATTAAATGGTAGAATAAACTAAAATATGTTTAATAAAATTTATAAATTATAAATATAAAAGTAATCTAAATAAATACTATCATATTTTAGGTCTGGCATGGAAGCAAACCATCGAATGGTTTGATACACTTTAAAAAGAAATTATGTGCCATGATAGAATCAATGGTAGTCACGCACACTTTTGTGGCGACCACTGTGAGAGGCACTCACGAATGAAAATGTTGAGCTGCAAACTATAGATATCCGGGAAGCTCCTAAAGTGATCGACGTGGGGTGACCACAGCAGGTTGCAAGCCTTGACAGTGCGCCCACTTCTTCGCTGCTCTTCCATAAATGACTCGACAGACTTGGCCGGGATCACCCTGTCCGCGGTGCTGTAAATGTAGAGCTGCGGGCACTTTGGCTGCTGCTTCGAAAGAATGGTGACAACTTCCGACAATCTCCTGCGATGCAAAAAAGAGATTAGTGCCTCGATGAATCAAAAGAGGAAAGACTCACTTCTTTACATACGGAAGCTGTAGGAAAACCGAGAAGAATTTTTCGAGCATGCTCACTAGCGCTTGCTCCGTAACGTCGGCCTGGAGCCGAGTTTCGTGCGCCTCCTCGCTGCTGTGCTTGAGGATGTCCAACACGTCCACCTTGCGAGTGGTAACGCTCTTTTTCTTGAGAAACGCGGCAGAGAAACCGGATGCCCAGACCTGACCATTTGATACAAACTTCAGCTCCTGTTTGAAAAGAGAAAGCTTACCTGAGGATCAGGCTCTGCAACCGGGGCCGAATCCACGACGCATCCCTTCACCTTGTCCAGCAGCTTATTGTTCTTCTGCAACAGCCTCTCGAGAAGGACTCCATACCTGGAAAAGAAGAACAAAAACTCGTTAGCACGTTGAAGAGGCTGCGAAAAGAAGGAAAGTTACGTTAGCCATCCAGTGTTGCTAAAGGTGTGAAAGAAGAGATGCTTTTCCTTGCCGTTTTCCTCCTCCTCCATCCAGGCCAAGAGGTGGTGCGCCAGATGATCGATTTGTTGCTCGGCCTTTCCACCAGCCTTGAAACTTATCATGTCGCTCATTGGAATGACAAAGGTGACGGCGTTGATCCCACGCTCCGTGTACCAGTCCGCATACTTCTTGAGGTGCTTTTGCTTTGCTCCAAGCCATCCCAGCAAAACCACCGTCACCTCCTTGGAGTTCTTCCTCTCGTTCTCGTCTCTCGTGGATTCCTGCGGCTTGGAGGAGCTCTTCGAGTGCCACGAACGAATGTACTTTGAGGCGGCGAAAGTCGGAGAAAAGATGGAAGGATAGCTGGGTTTGGTGGCGGACGACGAGGAGAAAGAAGAAACAACGCTGCGGTAGTGTGGCTGGCATGGAGACGAGCGTAGCAAGAGGGAGCCATCAGTGGCGGATAGAACAGCCAGGCTTGGAAGGATCGGGAAGAAGTGGAGCGACGAGCAAGAACACGTCTTGAGTGAATCGGAGACGAAGCGATGGACTGTCCAGACTACCTGATCGACCGAGGGGCTCTTGGATTCAATCGAGGAAGAAAGAGGAGATTTTTCTCTCACGTCGGCGCTCGAGAATGGAGGAACTGGCATGGAGGGATGAGCTGCGTAGAGGAGGTATGGCGGTGGGCCGAGAGTGGCAGGACGAGGACGAGGAGGAGCAATCTCGAACGATGATATCGCTGTTGCCAGACCAGCGGCGAGAGCTGCCAGAGGGCCATAGAGGCGCGTGGAAGTCCCCGCCATTGGAAAGGAATCCAACGCGAGAGGAAAAATGGAAAAGGGGAATCTAGAGGCCTGGGATCGACTAGGGCTGTGTGATCGACAGCCCCGGGCGAGAAATTCAGCATGCAGGGAGGGAGAAATCTCTGCCAGGGACTGACCTTGGTTTGGAGTGAGGCGGCAGGCGATCGATCTAGCTACGCTGCTGCTGCTGCTACTCCGTGTGTGGAAGTAACCGGATGAGAATCACGTCAACGGACATCGAGGGAGGGAGTCAAGAAGAACTCGCGGAGAAAGAAAACGCGTGCGCCAGAGAAAGAAAAGAGCCCTAACAGAATATGCCCAGTATCGCCACTATGCCCTAAACCAAACTACTGCATTTTATTGATTCAAAAGAATATAAATAAAATTATTAATGCTAAAAAAATTAATCTATGCAATTAATCGTTGATATATTGCAAGTTAAAATATTTTTTCTTGCTTTATTTGGTTTACATTATTTTCATTATCCATATAGATAGTAATGTAGCAAAATTTAAATGGCTTTTAATATTTAAGTAGATGATGACTTGATAGCAAGAACTGTTAGTATGTGGCTAATATTATGAATTCCATGTAAACTCACAATTAAAATCATTTGAATGTTTCACTTTTATAATTCACAAAGTTACAGATTTAATGTTATTTATAGTTGAATTCATTGTGGTCTACTACCTCACACTACTTCACTATTGCTTGTGTTGCTCCTTGCTCAACTTCCACTACTTGTTGCCGCTTACTCGACTTGTGCTGCTCGCTACTGCTCACTATTCCTTGCTGGAGCTACATTAATGTGAGTGGTAAAGGGCCTTTTGTTTGGTGCTCGTGATGACAAGATCGGATTCAAGCACATCTAGAAGTTCACATGAGCTCAATGTGAGGCCTTCGGCCCACAAGGAATCCAGAAAATACACACCAATGCTTGACCTGCAAAACAAAGCATGACAAGTGCCAAGTGTGAAAAAACCACAGAGAAAGATAAAAGGAAGATTAATCATCTGTTAGCAAAAAGATTTTACCTTAAACTTGCATGGAAGCATAGAGACTGAAAATAGAATGCCTGAGAGAATTGTTACATTGTCTTTCACAAAATCTATATAAATGCTCACATCAAAATGTGTCAGGAAAGAAAAAAATAAAACCAATTGTGTTTTGCTACCAACTTGCTGCTTTCCTGCGCTTTGGATGATCTGATCACCAAGCTGCAAGGCAAGAGACTGTGAGCTCAGGTTCCCCTTTACCACTTACATTTATCTGCCACGGGCACCTCTCGCTCATGCCTGGCCTCGAGAATCCATGAAATCAATCACACTGCCACAATCGATCCCTTAGGTCTTGAGAAAAAAATGCTTGGAAAGAGAGGAGAGAGCTTACTCGCATGGTGCACTAGGACGAGACTGGATGAAGAGGACTACCTAGAAAGACCTCCACTATATGTTGCAACCAATTAACAAAGGTTCAATATAGTTTTCTTGTACACTAAGTGGATGGTTCTTGCAGACCTGGCTCCGGCAACTAGTTTTAAACCACGGTTGAACTTAAAATATACTGTGGAATAAAACAGCCAACTTATGAAATGTAGTAAGATTACCATGCATCACTGCAACAACAACAGCCTCCTTCGAAACAGTGAAGCTGTTGACTATCTTGAACAAAGATCTTCTTTCCTTTTCCAGCAATCTCAGAAATCACTTTTGCTGAGGCATGGCAATCACTGCACATCTGCATGTTATTACTGACAAGAACATTCTATTTGTGAGATTCTTGAAGCAATGCATATGCAATTGCAAGCTTCTCATGGACCTCCTCTTTGTTGCAATTGGGGTGCCAAAAGTTCTCTTCTTTCACATACCCATTCTCTTTTGCCAGCTTCATTAACCTCGTGAGCTCACCCCATATTTCTTTTATATTAGGATGACCAATCCCCCACACGAAATGTGTGCATTTTTCCACCAAGTTGGACACGGTTGATTGCTCCAAGCTTCTTCAAGCCCTCTGTCACCCTCCAAGCCCTTCTCTGTCACCATCTTTCTCAGCCCAGCAATTTCACCAGTCCTGCTTTTCCCATATATCTCCACGAGGATAATGTATGGGGTGGCATTGTTTGGGTCCATGGCAAATATCTGCTTTGCAGCATATTTTCCGTGCCCAGCATTTACATGCTTCCTACAGGAAGAGAGAAATGTCATCCAAATTCTTGCATCCCGCTCATAGGGCATCGTCTCAATAAGTTCTTGGGCCTCTTCCATCCGCTTCACCTTCCCAAGCATCCCAACCATGCAATCGTAATGCTCAATCCCTGGCACAATACCAAAGTCGGGTTCCATGGGCGTGAAAAATAGGCTTTTGCTCTCTTCAACATCCAAAACCTGGCTGCTTGCCACGAGTATAGCAATGAATGTCACCCTGTTGGGTAGAATTCCATCCAAAATCATTTCATTAAAGGTTTGAATCGCATGTGTTTCATCCCTTATCATTGTGCATGCCCTGATCATGGATGTCCATGTGTACACATCTTTGTTAAGCGTGTTGGCAAACAATGCCTTTGCATCATCATACCTCCCGCACGCTGCATACACAATGAGCATTATGAGGATTATATTGTGTGTGACAATATCTTTGTGTTTAGATTTGTCGTAAAAAAAGTCAACTGCTGATTGAAGACGGCCGTTTTGGGCATATCGCATTGACTGACGCCACATCCGGCTCGTCCATCCGGTCAAACATGGCCCTCGCGGAGTCAACGTCCCCGGTATTGGAATAGACCTCCAGCATCATCGTCCAGTGAACCACTGTTTTGTCATGCGGCATCTCCTCCAACACTTTGAGAGCTTTTGCCAAACTTTCTTTTTCACCTACACAGTGCCTCGAGTAGACACGTCCAAGAAATAGCATCTTTCGTGGGCATGTGTTAAATACATTTTTCGCATGGACTAATCGACCATTTCGTACAAGCTCCTTCATCATTGAATTCCAAGTGATCTGGTTCCTGAGCTCTTTTGGCATTGACTCAAACATCTCCTCAGCTTCTTGCAGTCTGCCAGCTTTTCCGTATGCAGAGATCATCACATTCCATGATGCTGCACTCTTGGTGTCACGGGGAATCCCATCAAACATCTCGCGAGCTCGATTAAGTTGCCCGTTCTGAGCATACCCTTGGACCATTGTGTTCAATGTAACAACGTTTGCCACCTTCAGCCCATAAAAAATTCTCCTTGCCTCGTCTACTTCCCCGTATGCACCCAAGAGTATGGTCCATGAGTAATCATCCTTTTCGGGCACTTGATTGAAAAACTCCGTTGTCTCAACGAGTTGATTCTTTTTAGCCATAGCTGCTAACATGATGTTCCAAGACACCAAACTCTTGGCTTCCATCTTCTCGAACAAGATCCAAGCATCTTCTACCCGGGCGTTTTGAGTGTATACTTTAAGCATAATATTCCCAAGAGTAGATGTTTGGCCGCTTGATTTCATCAAACACCAAACGACCATCGTCTGAACTCCCAAACATCTCAATCAACAGATTTGCCACAAACTTATCATTCCGATAACTGCTTCGACGAACACATCTTCTTCAGCGTCTCTACAGAATGGATGTTCTTCCCATCAATCATAGTATGTGAGTTGGAAAAAGATCTTGATAAGAGCTCCTTCGCATGACAACCCCAATGGGTGTACATTTCAGTTGACATCCATTCAAGATAAGCGTGAGGAAGATCTGTAAGTCGCTTACCCTTGTATTTTCCAAAGTCCACTACCATTGATCCAATTCTATCACCATTTGGCTCGTGTATTTGCACATCCTTGTTTCTGGCCAAAGTTTGAATTGCTACCTCCTTCCACTCATTGTCAAGCTCTTGACTCATCCATTTCAAGTAGTTTTCAGGTACCGATTCAGATTCCTCGTGATTAGTGCCACAATTTAAAAACTCGTTAGAGAATTAGAAAAGCGTTGCAACTAGCTTAGATCAAGAGAAAGCTCACCACTTACCATTGCAAGTGCAGCGGCCGTCAACGATGGTGTGCGTAGTCGCGGCATCCTTCACCACAATCTTGCGTCCTATGATCTTGGAGATTGCGATAGTAGCACTATGGCAATTCCGACACACACGGAAGTTTTTGGTCACAGTTATTGGCCCCGTTGCCGTCTCGCTCGCCGCCCAGGCAATCGCAAGCTTCTCGCTGTGGAAGCACATCCCTTATTCTTTCTCTTCCTCGAGAACGTCGGCGAGAATTGGCTTGTATCCGTGCTCTTTCGTCATTATGTCGTCCCATGCCCGGAATCCTCCTCAACTTGAGTTTCTTGATCTTTCCCAGGATTTCTTTGAGCTTCTTTTCCTGCTTCGTGTTGTAGTAGATGCTGCGCAGCATGATGTATACGATGGGGGACTTGCCATCGTCGCTCTTGAGCCTCAGAAGCTTCTCTGCTGCAATCTCGCCGTAGACCAACCATTCTTGCCGCAGAGAGAACCGCCATCCAGTTCACGGGATCGTCTGACAAACAGCTTGCAAGCTCCACGGTCGCTGCAAACTTCCCACCTCGGTTAAGGTTGACGACCACTTGGCCATAGTGCGAGGCATCCGGAACGAAGTCGAAGTCGCGTACAATTGTTCCAAGCTCTTCACCACTAGCAACCCAGACGAGAAACGTGACTCTTGTTGGTTCGATGCCTTCTTCCGGATCGTCAAATCTGCTGCCTTTGGCCTGGAAAACAAGATACAATCAGCCGAGCCGAAGAAAGAAGAAGAAAAGCGAAATGGAACTATACCTGTTGTTCTGGACATCGGCTGACGCAAGGCTTGTCCAGGTAAAGACATCCTTCTCCCTTGCCCGTTCGAAAAGAGCTTCCGAGTCTTCAAGCAGCGGCAAACTGGAAATCATAATGTTGAACGACCTGGTGTCGATCCTATCACCCCCTCCTTCGGCGAAGAGCTTCTGTGCTCGCGAGTAATAGCCGTTCTTCACATAAACCGCGAGAAGAGCGTTGAAGGCAGCAGCATCCGGAGAGGGGATTCGCTTGTAGACATTCTCGGCAACATCAACGAGATGACCATGGGTACCAAGGCTGTGCATGAGAGACGTGTAGGTGCTTCGAATAATCGCGTCGACATATCCATCATCGTAGCAAAAGGCCTTGAAGTACTGTGCTCTGACGTCCTCCAGCAGCGACAGGTCTGACGAGGCAACAGCAGCCTTGAGCTCTGCAATTGCAAAGTGCCTGAGTATGGTCGTTGAGTAGCTATCCCAGCAAGGATACCGCATGAAGCAGGGGAGAGCTCCATAGAAGCTGATAAAACAAACAGACGAAGAGTTAAAACGTAAGACTTTAGCAAAACCGTGCTCACCTTGCATGCGCATTAAGCACGATATTCCACGAAACAGCATTTCTTGTGGTGGCTCTTTGGAAGAGCTCCAAGGCCTCGCCAGGCTTATTGTTCACCGCGTAAGCCTGCAACATGGCGTTGTACGAGTACGCATTTGGAGAAGAGATGCTATTGAATAGCTTCTCCGCGTCCTCCAGCCTCCCTGCTCTTCCGGCTTCTTTGATGAGATCGTGGCACCGCTTCCGGTCGGCAGGAGCACGCAGCTGGTCGGCCGATGCGCTTTTCGCGAAGCTGGTCTGCTTCTGATCGGTAGAAGCATTCCTCGCCGGGCGCTTCCGCTTGCTTTCCACAGCGCTCTCCTTCTGGCCAGTAGGCTCAGTTTCCACCTGGCTTGGATCGGTACGATGAGCTCCAAGCCTCGTAAATCTTCAGCATCAGCGCGTCCGTCATCCGGGAGAAGGAAGCTTTCCTCAGCTGGCAACAAGAGTTAAGTTAGTGCGCAACCAAAGGAGAAAGATAAAAGCACGCAAAGGGAGCAAGCAAGAAAGCAAAACTAGCTAGCTCAGCCCCTACAACGCAAGAACACGAGAACACTCCGAGAGAAAAGCCCCTACTAGCGAGAAAACACGAAGAGGACGCAAAACACACGAGAATCGAGGCAGGCCACAGAAAATGGAAGCCTCTGTCTCGAAGAAAGGAATGCTAACGCCAAAGACAACAGGGGAACAAGACACACTCGCAATCCACAGGGGAAGCCGGCGCCTTTGCTCAGAAAGAAGAGCAAGAATCCAGCCACAGCAGCGCAAGAAGTCGCAAGGATAGTAGTAGAGGAAAATCGGAGGGAATGGAAGCTTCCGGCTCCAAAGAAGGCGCAAAGAACGCAGTCAAAACCACACGCTAGCAAATCCAAGCCACCTTGTATGTGAATCTCTCTTGGTGCATCCAAACATCTTGTATGTTCCTGCGCTAAGATATGAAATCAAAAGGAAACGAAATCTCGCTAGTTACCTGCGACATGGAGAGACAAGCTGCCAGAGCTGACGACATTGCTCCTCGCCGATCTAAGTCGCAGGTGCCAAGGTCGAGAGAAAGAGTATGACAAATCCTACCTTTCCTCCGCCCGATTGCTGCAAGAGACGCCATTGCCCTAAACGATCCGAAACTATCCTGCTCAGTACTCGCCCTAACAAAGACCTAGCGCGGGAAATTCGAACTATATTATTACCAGTTACATTTGTTAAATAAATAAAAGTAAAAATCAGGCATTGCCCTAATTACAAACCCTTAATTGCCACCTCTTTAATTAAAGAAAGGATTCTCTATTTGATTCTTTTACCACCTTTCATATAGATCCTGGTGGAAAAAAATGTATAGATCCACGTGTACGGTCCGTGTGCGATTCTTCCACGCTAGTTACTGAAATATCTCGAGGAATCGCAGTGGCGGCTTTCTTCTTGTGGCTCAATCCCGTGCTGGCGCTGGCCTGACATGGAAAGAATCCCTGCTCGGCGGAAGCAGCAGGGATCGTGATGAGAGAGGCCAGCGCCAGTGCTCTCCATTCTTGGAACTAAAGCCCTGGGCCGTGCCCCCGGATAATTTCCTTGAGCACATCCAGATCGAAAGAAGTGCAACTGGTTGCGGGAGAAGATCGAGCGCAAGTATTCCAAGGAAAGGCAGATTATCATCCTCGATCGTCTCATCTGGGGGACAAAGTTTCAGAAAGAACTTAAGTGGACGGCCAAAAGGTTTGGACTGGAAGGTTGTGAGACATGAAGGAGCAAATCGATCGGGAGTTGCGAGCCTTGTCATTGGTATGCCTCATCGTGGCAGCTCCAACGTGCTGGGAAACGTTGTAGGAAGCCTCTGCGGCAAACATTTAGCGAGTTTGCTGGGGATGGCTACAGTGGAAGTGGTGATGTCAAGTACCATCTAGGAACGTCCTACGACAGACCGACCAGGACCGGGAAGCACATCCATCTCTCGCTCGTTGCGAATCCCAGTCACCTGGAAGCTGTGGACCCGGTTGTGGCGACGACTACGAGAAGAAGAAGAACATGACGATTTTGCTTCATGGAGATAGCTTCTCTGGCCAAGGTGATGCTGCACTTGAGCGATCTTCCAAACTACACCACCGAGCAGTCGCTCCTCGCCTTACTGCACGGACGTTTCCAAGGGTTTGAACGCTCCTATCTTTCCCCTGAAAGGACATGAGCTGTCGTCCATGCCTGGCCGCAAAATGGAGGTGCCAGTTCAAGTCGGATGTTGTGGGTCACAATGAGATCGACGAGCCATTGTTCACTCGACCAAAAATGTACCAGGTAAGCTCAACTTTGTCTCGATTTGCTAGTGCTTGATGGATTGTTTTTTTTCTTTTTTTGTGCAGGTCAAGATGAAACTCGTTGAAATTGGTCATGACGATCAGTGAGGAGACCGTGAAAAATATCCATGACAAAGTGTATGCGATTTTAAGCGAAGACTACGCTCCTAAGTCACAGGACTGATATTGGACGGGCTTCATGGGTCCGGAGCAGTTGTCACGGTTAAGAAACACCGGGTAAGTTTAGTCTTTCGTCTTTGTTTCTTACATGTATCGGTGTTCTGACTGCAGTGTCAAACCAGAGGTTGGCAAGAAAATCGCCACTCTTCCTCCCTCGTTTACCAGAGCGATCAAAAGGGTGTGTGGGCAACATGATTGAGACGGGAGACGGAGTTACAACTGAGGCACTTGCGTTCGCAACGCTCCTTGCAGAGACATGCCGTGGTATGAAAGATACTGCCCCCTTGACCACGTTCTGCCCAATCGTGAGCAACAGGTTTTTTCTCCTGTTATTCTAGATTTTAATGCAGCTCGCTCTCGGAATATGGATTCAATGGAAAACCCATAGTTTGGAGACGTCGTCAATGGTGCGCAGGTGATCAGTTTTTGAGCTGTGGAAAAGCCAAGTGGTTGCCTCAAACAGGACTTGTGTGCATGCTGGCTGCCACACGGTTATGATGGACAAGGGCCACAGCACTCAAGGCTGGAAAGGTTTTTGCAGGTTTGTGCTGTGACATTCTTTGACGACGCTCTTTTACCTGTCCCTTTATCACTCCCTTCGGAAATAGAGTGTTTGGCCGCCTCTTCTCTCACTTTGGTTAGTGGAGCAAAACAATGACTGAGCTTTTTATCCAGGTATACTACGAGCTCGACGAGGAAAGGAGCGCGTTGGAGCAAAGGACGTGGCCATCTGCCGCGTAGAGCAGCTGTGCCCGATTCCTTACGATCTTCTCCAAAAGGAACTCAAGCGTAAGAAAGCTTGCGGAGCGGTTTCTCTTGTAGACGCGGATGTTGTGTGGTGCCAGGAAGAACCCATGAACATGGGCTCCCCTCAATCGTGGGAGCTTTGCGGAGATCCAAGTCCTCGGCCACCCGCACTGGATTCGCGGCCGTGCACAAGATGGGGCTCTCCAAGCACAAAATATGTAAGGCTAGCGAATTGTTCTAGGCAATCACACGTTTCTTTTCGTTCTTATGATCTTCCAAAAGAAAGGGAGAGGTCTTCTACCAGGTAAGCTCGTTATTCTCCAAGGATTTGTGATCTTAGTGGATAGATTTTACGCAAGTGGAAACTGAAATTTAAGAAAGATATCTGAAAAAGAAAAAAGATCGATTGTATGTCATCCGTTGTAATATATACTGAGATGAGAAGAGATTGCAGCAAAAAATAATATATCAAATGAGAAAAAAGAAACTATAGCAAAAGAAAATACACTAAGATGAGCGGTAACACGCATCCAAACGTTGGAACTCACTCCTGCCCACCTCGATCAAGCATGCTGGTTCCGGCAGTTCTTCCGCAATGGCAAACTTCTTCACGAAGGACGATGCCTTCTTCGCCTTGACGTAAAAGAGTGTCCCAGCACGTACGCCATGGCCTCCTTCGCTCCGCCTTGATGGACAGATCCATCTCCACCGCGGCCTTTGGGAGTTGTCCAGCCGAGGGAGCTTTGCCTTGATGGACGGAACCTCATGATGGACGACGGCCTTTGCGAACCTCACCCTCTTCTTGTTGTCCAGCCGAGGGAGCTCCGCCTCCTCCAGTTTTTCCTCCTCGAGCGCTGCGGAGTTCCACCACAGTCATCCTCCCATCCACGGACACCTCGGTGCTCGAGGGGGTCCAAGGGTGCGCGTCCTCCATCTGGATGATACGCTCGAAGTCCTGGTCGTCCTGGTGGAGATCCTTGTAGCCGTATCTGCGAATGCACCTGTACATCCGATACTCCTTAGGCCCGATCCTGCCGATGGCGGTGGAACGTGAGGCACCGGCACGGACTTGATGCAGACGAAGACGAGGACTTGGTGAAACGCCGGGAGGTTTGTGAGAAGATGGGTCTGTGTAAATCAGGCCTATTCCAGGAACTCGGACGATGCCAAGGCTCGGACCCGGGGTGAGCAGCCACTTCATGGAGAACTTCTTGGAGGTGCCGTAATGCTATATGTACATGACGGCCATGAATATCACCGAGAGGACCAACGCCTCCTTCTTTGACTTGATCAGTGCCGCTGACATGTAAATGCCTCAAAGAAAAGGGCAAACGCAGCTGCCAGGAAGAAGCTCTTCCTCCATATGATCATGAGTGACGAACATAACCGTGACAACGGCCAAACCTGAAAGGACAAGATCAAATCAGGCGTTGGAAGTCACCACATACCATATGCGTGGCCGATGAGGATTGTATTCCTGAATCTGAGTGTCACGGCAAGCAGTTGACTCCGGGAATGTAACTCTGCCGGTAAATATCTTTGGATGTGTGGACGACTTTCACCCGTGGGAAGCAACCAGATAAGCACTGCTTGACAATCGAGAAGGTTGCATGGTCTAATCCCTTGACAATCTCTTCAGAAACAGTATGCTGGCCAGTTTTCGTCATCGCCACCCTTACGGGAGCCAGGCAGTCATTTCGAAAGCAGGTGGCGTTTCAAAATTTTCTTACTCGGTATGGATTTGTAGAAACTCTTCAAATGTCATCGTGATTCTTGGGGAGACATGCCGCTTGTCCCGTGTAGACAAGAACAAGACAAGGATAGACTACACACGCAATGTCTGGAAATCGTGTGCCGTCAGCAAAAAGCAAAGCATTGATACATGTCCACACAAAAGTACCTTGATAGGAAAGTGTTCCAAATCAGCAAACATCAGTCCCGTTCCTGAATAAAACAAGAAGAAAAAGCAATCACTGTCCAGGTGGAGTGATGATAAAGTCATGCTAAGCCACCTGTGATACACACCAGAGAAGTCCATCCGTCAGAAGTTGTAAGGGTGACAGAGCTCGAAGGATGTTCCGGGATACAACCACGCTATCACGATGGGTGCGAAAATGAAGGCAACTCTATATATGCGTCCAGCGCAAACAGCCCGATGAATATCAAGCACGCAGCAATGTGGACCACGTCTGCAAGGACCCCATGACAATCGTGACTGCAAAGGGAGAATTTTAGACGTACGTTCATGGTGCTCGGTTTCCGTAGAGTTGATTCCAGAAACAGCAGAAAGAACTGGGAGGAGAAAAAAGGAAAAACAGTCAGCGTACGGCTTTGAAAGTGCGGACCTGATATTGGTGGTGTAAGAACTCCATCGCCAATGACCATACACGTCCCGAGGAGGAAGACCAATTTGAGGAACGCCTCCAGACTTTCTAGCTTGTAGGTGGATAAATCCTCGTTGAGGGGCTGCTGGTCACCAACAACGGTAACAAACCTTATGAAGGATGGCGACGAGGGGTTAGGGTTTTTGGCGAGGGAGAAATGTGGCGATGGCTGTGCCGAGGCGCTCCGGGAAGACAGCCGCAGCCCCACCGGTTTAGATCGGAACCGGCATGGGCTATAGCTGCTCTAGAGCGCACCCAGGTGAAGGTCGAAGTTTGCAATCAAGTCAAGGTGGACAAAGGCGCTCCTCCCGCAAAGGCCACGTTCCTGGATCTGCCTGACGATCTTAGCGTAAGCTGGTGGTCTGCGGGGAGACGGAACCGGAAGCTTCTGCTCCGCAGCTGCTACGATCCCATCTTTAATCTCGTGTGGGAGCACAATGAGGTGGAAGCGGAGCGCTTGGACACTCCTATTGCAGGCGTAGTCTTGCTGGGGAATCCAGGGATAGGGAAGACGGG